ATGACACCAAAATAGGCCGTCGAATTCATTCTGACGAGGACATTCGAGCACTCCAGGAAGATTTGAATAGACTGATGCAGTGGTCGGAGAAGTGGCAGATGCAGTTTAATATAGACAAATGCAAAGTTCTAAATGTTGGACAGGACAATAACCATGCCACATATAAACTAAATAATGTAGATCTTAATATTACGGATTGCGAAAAAGATTTAGGAGTTCTGGTTAGCAGTAATCTGAAACCAAGACAACAGTGCATAAGTGTTCGCAATAAAGCTAATAGAATCCTTGGCTTCATATCAAGAAGCATAAATAATATGAGTCCTCAGGTTGTTCTTCAACTCTATACATCCTTGGTTAGGCCTCATTTAGATTATGCTGCACAGTTTTGGTCACCGTATTACAGAATGGATATAAATTCTCTGGAAAATGTACAAAGGAGGATGACAAAGTTGATCCCATGTATCAGAAACCTTCCCTATGAGGATAGACTAAGGACCCTGAATCTGCACTCTCTAGAAAGACGTAGAATTAGGGGGGATATGATTGAGGTGTATAAATGGAAGACAGGAATAAATAAAGGGGATGTAAATAGTGTGCTGAAAATATCTAGCCTAGACAGGACTCGCAGCAATGGTTTTAAGTTGGAAAAATTCAGATTCAGGAAGGATATAGGAAAGTACTGGTTTGGTAATAGAGTTGTGAATGAGTGGAACAAACTCCCGAGTACAGTTATAGAGGTCAGAACGTTGTGTTGCTTTAAAAATAGGTTGGATAAATACATGAGTGGATGTGGGTGGGTGTGAGTTGGACCTGATAGCTTGTGCTACCAGGTCGGTTGCCGGGTTCCTCCCTTAAGTCAATGTGACCTGACCTGACTAGGTTGGGTGCATTAGCTTAAGCCGGTAGGAGACTTGGACCTGCCTCGCATGGGCCAGTAGGCCTTCTGCAGTGTTCCTTCGTTCTTATGTACTTATGTTCTTATGACTGGGTGTGACCTGGACCTGACTAGCTTGGGCCAGTAGGCCTTCGGCAGTGCTCCTTCTTAAGCGGGTGTGACTTGGACCTGCCTAGCATGAGCCAGTAGGCCCTCTGAAGTGCTTCTTCTTTCTTAAGTTTTAATATACCAGAAAGCCTATGATGTTCCGCGCCAGTGTTAGAACATAAGAACATAAGAACATAAGAAAGAAGGAACACTGCAACAGGCCTACTGACCCATGCGGAGCAGGTCCATGTCCCCCCCCCCCGGATTAGCCCAATGACCCACCCAGTCTGATCATCTCCACTCAAGGATGGAGCACTGCACCAGACCCAGCTGCCATCTTCAAAAAAAAAAAAAGCAGCCATAGTGGAAAATTTTAAAACCTAAATAGTTTCACCAATATGCATTGCATTTCGGGCAACTTGCAATGCATTTCGGATAATTCTACACTTTTCTAGAGAGTGCAGACTTAGGGTCCTCAATTTATCCTCATGGGAAAGATTTCTGATACAAGGGATCAACTTTGTCATCCTCATTTGTACGTTTTCCAGAGCATTTCCGGTTATGTTTGTCTTGGAGTTGGTAATCAAAGTATTGTCCGTGATAAATTTAAATTGACAAATAACCCGCATTTACTGTAGGAATCTTTATCACGTTGATTGAGTCTGTTTTGGGTCTGTCTTGGGTCTGTCTTGGATCTGTCCTGGGTCTATCCTGGGTCTGTCCTGGGTCTATCCTGGGTCTATCCTGGGTCTGACCTGGGTCTGTCCTAGGTCTGTCATGGGTTTTACCTGGGTCTATCTTGGGTCTGTCCTGGGTCTTGTCCTAGGCTAAAACCTTGTCACATGTCTTCTCCCCCTAAGTACGGGTTGTTTGTTACCTGTTCCACCCAAGTAGAATTGCTGACCTAGAAAATGTACAGAGAGCCATCACGGCGCGCATAACGGACATAAAACACCTCAATTACTGGGAGCGCTTGAGGTTCCTAAACCTGTATTCCCTGGAACGCAGGAGGGAGAGATACATGATTATATACACCTGGAAAATCCTAGAGGGACTAGTACCGAACTTGCACACGAAAATCACTCACTACGAAAGCAAAAGACTTGGCAGACGATGCAACATCCCCCCAATGAAAAGCAGGGGTGTCACTAGCACGTTAAGAGACCATACAATAAGTGTCTGGGGCCCGAGACTGTTCAACTGCCTCCCAGCACACATAAGGGGGATTACCAACAGACCCCTGGCAGTCTTCAAGCTGGCACTGGACAAGCACCTAAAGTCAGTTCCTGATCAGCCGGGCTGTGGCTCGTACGTTGGTTTGCGTGCAGCCAGCAGCAACAGCCTGGTTGATCAGGCTCTGATCCACCAAGAGGCCTGGTCACAGACCGGGCCGCGGGGGCGTTGACCCCCGGAACTCTCTCCAGGTAAACTCCAGGTCACACTTGTCGAAGGCTTTTGCAAAGTCTGTATATATTACATCTGCATTCTTTTTGTCTTATAGTGCATTTAGGACCTTGTCGTAGTGATCCAATAGTTGAGACAGACAGGAGCGACCTGTTCTAAACCCATGTTGCCCTGGGTTGTGTAACTGATGGGTTTCTAGATGGGTGGTGATCTTGCTTCTTAGGACCCTTTCAAAGATTTTTATGATATGGGATGTTAGTGCTATTGGTCTGTAGTTCTTTGCTGTTGCTTTACTGCCCCCTTTGTGGAGTGGGGCTATGTCTGTTGTTTTTAGTAACTGTGGGACGACCCCCGTGTCCATGTTCCCTCTCCATAGGATGGAAAAGGCTCGTGATAGGGGCTTCTTGCAGTTCTTGATGAACACGGAGTTCCATGAGTCTGGCCCTGGGGCAGAGTGCATGGGCATGTCATTTATCGCCTGTTCGAAGTCATTTGGCGTCAGGATAACATCGGATAGGCTTGTGTTAATCAAATTTTGTGGCTCTCTCATAAAAAATTCATTTTGATCTTCGACTCTCAGTCTGGTTAGCGGCTTGCTAAAAACTGAGTCATACAAACTGAGTCATACAAACTGACAGGCCATTCACTGTAACCTCTATGTATTCCAATGAAATAAAGATCTTTCTCCGTGTAATAATGTTGGTGATAAATTAGACACATGTGCAACTCTCGGGTATCTTTATTGAGGAAACGTTTCGCCACACAGTGGCTTCATCAGTCCAATACAAAGCAGGAAGGTGAAAGGAGAGGAGAAGTTTGAGGTAATCAGTCCCTCAGCCTGGAGCCGATGTGTTCAGTCCATCAATCTTGTAGAATGTACAGCATAGGGCCGTAGACGTGGCTTATATACTGTAGTCAGGTGAGGCGAAGCTGAGGAACTGATTACGTCAAACTCCTCTCCTTTCACCTTTCTGCTTTGTATTGGACTGATGAAGCCACTGTGTGGCGAAACGTTTCCTAAATAAAGATTCCCATATGTTGCATAAGTGTCCCAATCTTCAGAAGGACAAGTGCACTAATGCGACATTTCATTGTGGCAAGACGTTTCGCTTTCCAGGAGCTTTGTAACGGCTTGATAAAACTCTTGGAGAGCGAAACGTTGCCACAGTAAAATGTCGCATTAGTTGCACTTGTGCCCTTTTACCTAATATCTTTATACACAAATAATCCTGTTAGGTAAGAAACATATGCAACAGTTAGGTATCTTTATTTCGAAACGTTTCGCCTACACAGTAGGCTTCTTCAGTCGAGTACGGAAAAGTTAATAGAAGCCTGAAGAAGCCTACTGTGTAGGCGAAACGTTTCGAAATAAAGATACCTAACTGTTGCATATGTGTCTTGCCTAACAACCTGTTGGTATTTTATACCATTTTTATGTTCACAAATAACCCTCTCACATAGGAGAGAGAGAGAGAGAGAGAGAGAGAGGAGAGAGAGGAGAGAGAGAGAGAGGAGAGAGAGAGGAGAGAGAGAGAGAGAGAGAGGAGAGAGAGAGAGGAGAAGAGAGAGAGAGAGAGAGAGAGTGAGAGAGAGAGAGAGAGAGAGAGAGAGAGAGAGAGAGAGAGAGAGGAGAGAGAGAGAGAAGAGGAGAGGAGAGAGGAGAGAGAGAGAGAGAGAGAGAGAGAGGAACTTACCACGACGTTTCGCTCCGACTTGGGCCATTTACAAAATGTGGCTTGTAAAAGGTCCAAGTCGGATCGAAACTTAATCGTAAGCTCCTCCTATGTGCGGGTTAATTTTGTATTGTTCCAGTGACGGTATTGTGCCTCTTTGATCTTCATCCATGTTTATGAAGTTAAATTTGGCGGCTTGTAGTGGTGACGATGGCAGAGTTATCTAGCGGGGAGTCCAGAAACTCAGGCGGGGAGAACTCTCTTCATGTACGATAATCCTCTACACCGTAGAAACATCTAACTACATCAAAATACGTAGTATTTACCCATATTCTACATCTTATCTGTAATTTCAGTTTATGTTGTGGTACAGGGGTATAGTGTGTATGTTTATAAGGCGAATAAGTACAGTATTATTGCTCCAGTTGCATAGAGACTATATATTTGATGATAAATTCTTTCTACAAGTCTTTATATGACTACAGTTGTTTTACAAAGTAAGGTTGTTCAGGTACAGGTACACATAAGTACAATTATTATACAGTAGTGTAAATTTCGTCACAGTGACTTATTTCCAGTGGGTCCTTGATATATGATTATTCTAGGACTCTCAATGGAAATAAGTTACTTAGCATGACTTTTTCGGGTTATTCCTGGTAATTTACACTATGTTAAGTAAAAGGACACAAGTGAAACTAATTTACATTATGTAAGTAATTGTACTTATTTGTACCTGTGCCTAAATAAGTTAAGGATCCTGATGGAAATAAGTCACTCTGACTTTTTAGGGGGGAGGTTTATCTTAGATAATTTACACATAAGTTACTATTAATGATAATTTATGTAGCTTTATTTATGTATACCTGTACCTGAACAAACTTACTTGCTTACTTACTTTACTTACTTAATAAACGATAGTATTGAGGTGAGTGAGCGAGGTGGAGGCGCACTCTGCTGGCCGTCATGTTTACACTCCCTCTGTGTGCTGGCATCTCACTTCTATTTTGTTGAATAATTTCATCAAGATGTGTAGTTAATCGTGACCTGTTTAACTACCTAAGTGTGCGGACTGCTGTGTTGCACTACCGAGCATGTTGCAGGGGATTTATACACGGTAGAAGCAAGAATAAGGAGCCGCCTCGTGAGAAATAGGTTGTGGCTGTGTGGAGCAGCAGACGAGTGTGTGATAGAGGGAGAGAGAGAGAGGGAGAGACACTATTTCATACTATGTGAGTATTCCTGTCTCTGTTTTTTTATTGTAGTAATATTTAACGTGTTAAAGATGGTGTTACTCCCTGGTTGTGCGTCTCTTCAATAACCAGAGGCTTGCAGTCTCAGAGTTTTGCTTTTTTTCTAGTTTCGCATTTTTTCAGAACTTCGTGTATATTTGTATGGTTTTATGTATATATGTAAGTACTTATGTACGTACGTATATATACGTACATAGGTACGTGTGTACATATATACATAATACACACATACATAATATACGTACATAATACACATACGTAATACCCATACATAATAGACATAATACACATAATACTCATACAATACATACATGATACACAAATAATACATAATACACGCACATAATACACACACATAATACACACATAATACACGCACATAATACACACACATAATACACACATAATACACACATAATACACATAATACACATAATACAACACAATACACACACATATATACACACACACAATACACACACATAATACACACACAACACACACACACACATACATAATACACATAATACAGACACACATACATAATACACAATACACATACAATACACACACAATACACATACAATATACACACAATACACAAGCACAATACACACACAATACACACAATACACACACAATACACACACAATACACACAATACACACACAATACACACACAATACACACACAATACACACACAATACACACACAATATACACACACACACAATATACACTCAATACACGCACACAATATACACAAAATACACACACACAATACACACACAATACACGCACATAATACACATAATACACACACAATACACATATAACATGCACACCTTTGATATACCTTTGAAGAGTTTCGAGAGTGTATCTACTCCACATATATAACATGCACACATATATAACATGCACACATATATAACATGCACACACATATAACATGCACACATATATAACATGCACACATATATAACATGCACACATATATAACATGCACACACATATAACATGCACACATATATAACATGCACACATATATAACATGCACACATATATAACATGCACACACATATAACATGCACACATATATAACATGCACACACATATAACATGCACACACATATAACATGCACACATATATAACATGCACACATATATAACATGCACACACATATATAACATGCACACATATATAACATGCACACACATATAACATGCACACACATATAACATGCACACATATATAACATGCACACATATATAACATGCACACATATATAACATGCACACACATATATAACACACACACATATATAACATGCACACATATATAACATGCACACACATATAACATGCACACAATATACATGCACACTATATAACATGCACACATAATAACACACATATATAACACAACACACATATATAACACACACACAATAACATGCACACATATAACATCACACAACACCATATAACACACACACACACATAACACACACACACAATATAACACACACACAAAATATAACACACACACATATAACACACACACACAATACACACACACACACATACACACACACAACACACACACACATAAACACACACACACACAAAACACACACACAATATATAAACACACACACACACACTATAACACACACACACACACACACACACACACATATATAACACACACACACACACAAACACACACACACACACCACACACATATATATAACAACACACACACACACACACACACACACAACACACATATATATAACACACACACACACACACACACACACACACACAATATATACACCACACACACACAACACACAGCACACACACCACAACACGCACACACACACACAACACGCACACACACACACAACACGCACACACACACAAACACGCACACACACACACAACACGCACACACACACACAACACGCACACACACACAACACGCACACACACACAACACGCACACACACACAACACGCACACACACACACCACACACACAACACGCACACACACACAACACGCACACACACACAACACGCACACACAACAACACGCACACACACAACACCACACACACAACACACACACACAACACACACACACACACACACACACACACACACACACACACACACACACACACACACACACACACACACACACACACACACACAACCCCCCCCCCCAGGCCTAGTGTCTATTTGACAAGTGCCTGGAACAAAATGGTAACTCACTCACTCAGTTGTGACAGTACCTATAATAAGAAATAAAGTATACTTGGACAGTACAGGTCTGATTGCTATCAGTCAAATTTGCCAACAACTTGAGTCTGTTTCTGCACGTCTGGTCATATTGGCTCCCAGTTTTATTATAAATGCTTTACAAAACCGACAAGTGGATTAACAATTCACTTGCAATACTTGGTTATCTTCATTTCCGAGATGTTTCGCCCCCCAGTGGATTTATCAGTCCAGCACAGACAGTAGAAGACAAAGCAGTAGTTTAAGGTGATCAGTCTCTCAGCCTTGATGACTCTGTTGGAGACACTGGATGATATGAGGGAGTAATGTTGCATGTGTACATCTTATTCGTCTTCTGGCTCCATTGGTCAGGAGTATCTTTCGATTTGGCTAGTGGATTGTTGTGTTATCTTAATTAGGTGATGGTAATTCCTTAATAACTGTGAACATTACAAGAAGCACTCATCATGGTACATAGGAAGTTACACTGCCTAACCAAACTATCTAATGCCTAGCCTAAGTGTTTTTAGCTTAAAAGCACTATCATCATGTATTGATATGTTCATAGCCACCACCATGTTGTATTAAGTGCTGTATCACACAGCAACAAAGCTCTCATCATCCTTCATCCACACTTATAATAACAGTGCCCAGCTCCTGCTTCAATGGTACCTTGGAAGTAAATCTTTCTTGTCTTTGTTGGTCTATCTAGAGTGAATTATATCACCTTCATATAGCCATATGGATTATGTGTCATATGTAAATCCGTTGTGTAACCATAATAAATGAACACAAAACTGATAAAATCAGAGTTTCATTTTGTCACCAATTTTCTGTATGCAGTATGTATTCAAACTAAGAGGTGATTTTTTTTTTTAACTGTGAATGACGAAATGGCAGGGGCTTGTTTTGTTTAAACCTAAACATATCGATCGATGATGCTACATACTGCTGGCTGATGAAATACAAGTCTACACATTTGTCATGGTACACAAGCATTAACCTTGCCTTGTGTACCTGACATACCTTATTTAGTTAAGCTCAAACCTTAATTCATTCATTCCAGAATGTTGCAAAAGTTTCTTGGTACTTTGTATTTGCTGTTTTGTTATTTTCAGCTCTCATGGCCTACAACCCTCCAACTACTGCCATGACAATACCACCAGTTGTTACTTTCATAGCCATAGTGGAAATAGTCAGTGGGCATTATATTGTCGATAGAATCATAACAGGTAGTAGATTGGTAGACAGCAAGATGTCTGGCAAGATCACAGACTAGTTATCCAAGTTGCAGGTTTGGAGACTTGTTAAAATACATACAACCACAAGTTATCCAAGAGCATAATTTAGGTTTGGGTAGATTATATACTGGTACCAGTGATATAGCTGTGACTGTTTTAGACTTTTTCTACCCTTCCAGCATGATCTGGGGCCAGACTTTTCTTTGTTAGTTCAACCTGGCTGTTGATGGCCCGCTGGCCCATATAGTCATCATAGCCTGGTTGATCTGGCACTTTGAGATAGTGAATCAATTTCCTCTTGAAAACTTCAATATTGTTAAGGTATTTGTGATATCTGCTGGTTGTAGATATGGTCTTTCAGGATCCATGATCCAAGACCATAGATGTTGACAGTGTGTTCTCTTATTCTGTCCATAGCACCCCAGCATTTCACTAAGCCTGTTCTACACTTTCCATATTTCATTCTAGTATGTTATGATACTTGTAGGTTTGGGACTAGGCCTATAAGTATCTTTCTTATAGCCACATCGGGTATCTCTCTCTCTCTCTTCATCCCAGAAAGTACATTCCAAATTAGCTCTACACAAGCAGTTAAGGTCTTTTCCTTCTTTGCCTTGCATGGAACAGTTGTCACCAAACAATATTCTAAATGAGGAAACACGGCTGATGAGGATAGTGTCAGCACTGGCATTATTTTTCACATTTTGAAAATTCTCATCATTCACCCTGTCATTTTTCCAGCCTTTGCAACATTTGCCGTAATGTATTCGCTACATGATAAGTCTTCTGACATTATTATATCAGAGCCTCTACATGTTCCTTTGTTCCATGAGATGGTCCTCCTGCGATTTATATCCAGTGCTCCTTTTTGAGTTCTTCCTATCTTTCCAAATCTGAGCAGTTGGAATATGACTATGCCTGCTGTGAGGATGAGAAACTGTAACAGCACCATACTGTTCCTAGGTGTACTGAACTTTTTTACTTTGCTAAGGCTGGATTTTCCTTTGCTTACTTCCATGTTCTGTTAGAAAATTCAATATAGTGACTTCTTTCTACTTTCGTCAAATTTTGCATTTTGTTTTATCCTGCACCCTCCACATTTTTATGAGAATGATCTGGCTGTGACGAGCTTGATTTTCCTGTTCTAAATCAGTATTGACCTGAATAATGCAGTTCATACTTTTCCATAAAATTTGTAATTTGGAATCTCACCACTCTACAAGGATTATGATGTAAGTACTACTGATCTGTTGTTGTTTTCTAGAAGTCTGCTCCTTTGTGAAGAAGAGCTATGTCTACACTTTTTAAGGCCTCTAGGATTTCACCAAGTTCTAAGTTCTTTCTCCAAAGAATTCTGAGTGCTTGTGCTAGTGGTATTTGGAACTCCTTTATAAGAGTTCCATGTATCAGGCCCAAGTGCTTCATGTATGGGGGGTGCTTTCTACTAGCG